GCTCCATTAGTCAGAGGCACAGAAGTGCAGCATGTGGACCTACAGCTTGCCTGGCCCCTGGAAGCCGTTTCTCACACCCCCCACTGCCCAGATGAAGAAGGATGAAGAAGCTGACATCCAGAGAGTCCAGCCTGGGGTCCCATGTGTGTGTGAGGAGAGAAGCTAGACTTGAACCCGGGAGTTCTGACTCCATGAACAGAGAAGAGCAAAAGGTGTTCCCACCCTTGTTCCAGTCCTCTCTGCTCAGAACCCCTGGGAGGGATTGACATTCCTGGGGTTTTCTCCCCTCACCTTATTTCTTCTGTGGCCAGCAGTGGCTTGCCTGCCCTCGCCCAGCCCTCTCTCAGGCTCAGCTGGAGCCTGGCCAACACACAAGCGCTCAGGCTCTGCTGCTGTACCCACCCAGAGCCAGCTGCCCACCTGGTGCAGCTCACTCAGGCGCTCCTGCGCCAGCTCAGCCGTGGGAAGGGAAAGAACAGTCAGGGCCTATGAACCCTGGGAAGGAAGCCCAGAACTCAGCAAGCTCAGGAGGGGGCGGGAGGCTGTGCAGACAGATGGACAGGTACAGACTCTGAACACCAAGGCCGACTCCTCCCAGTCTGCTTCAGCAAGGAGCTCAGGCCTGAAACCAGCTCCACCAGGCACCAGGGACTGCTGCCCGCCCCACCCCCTCCTCAGCTCTGTCCAGCCCCAAACCTCAGAGCCTCCCACCAGCCTGGATGGGGTCCTGGAAACTAAGCACTGCAGACTCATCAAATTTTCCAGGCTGTGTGCATGTATGAGTGTGTATGTACATGCGCACACATGGCACTTCTGAAAGAGGGAGGCAGGCTAGCAAGCAGAGAAAGCGGGGATGGGGGCACTCTCAGTCCTCAGTCTGGCCAAGATGCAGAGGAAACGTCCTAATCTGGTCCTTCACCAACCCTTCCTCACCTAGGGACACTTCAGTCTGTTTCTTCTAGCAGAGCCTCTCTGAGCAGCCAGGACAGACAGAGAGAGATGGAAGCATCTTACTTCAGATTCTGAGCAGAGGAGAAAAAGAGAGTATGTATCTGTGGGTAAAGGGTTGGGGTCACAAAGTACCTACAAAAGAGAGGCCTGTGGGGACAGAGCACGCTTCATAACTAGTCCTATAGACCCCCGCCTTGGAGAAGCTTTTGGCCATAGAAGGTCCTGCTACCACCTTCACCCCGTTAAGCAGCCTTGGGGGTGGGAGATACAGGCGCAGAAGGAAAGAAAGCAGCTTTCCCAACCCCCCACACCCAGGCCAAGATTCTCTATTCAGCAAAAATGTACTTTTCTTTCCCCAGCAGCCACCCCCACAGACAAACCCACATCTCCTGCCTAGAAAACCCCGAGGTCTTGAAGCCTACCGTCTAAGCGTGGAGCTGGTCAGGACACAGAGGAAGGCAGAGGGCTGGACCTGGCATCCCAACTTCCAAGTGTGAATTAGCCTGGTCCCTCCCAGCAGCTGCTGTAGGCTGCTCTTCCAGCTCCTCCTCTGCTCTCCCACAGCCTGAAGCCAGGCCTTGGGCATCCCCCACACCAAAGGAAGATAATTATCAGGCAGAAGGGAACAAGCTGCCCCCTCTTCCTCCCACAGACTGGGGAAGGTCACGGGGAAAGGAAGAAGGTCCAACTTCTCCTGGGCAGGTTGAGGAAACTCATCAAGGGCCTGGAAGGGGCGGCCAGGAACGTGCTGGGGGCAAGGGGTGCTAACAGCTTGCGTAAGCTGGCATCAAGGACAGCACAGTGCAGAGGACAGAGGGCCCCTGGAGAGAAAGAGACACTGTGTGACAAATGTCCATCCTCTGGCCCTGGAAGTCACTCTGCCAGGACACCGAATTTGGCAGCAGGCATAGAGCAGGGCTATTTCCTGACACTCTGGAAAGGCTAGGCATGGTTCCCCCATGCTAAGCTGGCACGGGCCATTGGTCCTCTTCACCAGTGATAAAGCAAATGGGAAATTCCTAACCCCTGCAGGCATCAAAAAGGCAGCAGGAGAAAAACTGGGTCAGGGAGGGGCACCTGAGACAGCTGTCACAGAGGTGCATCCTGGGATACGCTGTGGTGCCTCAGCCTTCATGCCATGGCTCAGCAGCACTTTCTTTACCTCACTCACCCAGTCTCCTTGTGTCTTCCTGACTCCTCCCTGGTGAGCTGTGTCTCCCCCACACTACCAAGGACAAGCCCAGGCTTGTAGGGATGGGAAAGAAGAGCTGCCTCAGTATTTGAGGAGGATGGGAGCAGTCCGGAGCAGCCAGCTAGCACCCCAGCTTCTCCATCCTTTCCGTATCCACCCAGGGCACCCTGCACAGCCTTTGCCTCTGGGGACTGACAGCTATCTGGCTCCCCAAGAGCTGCAGGGGACAAGGACTTCTGGGATTTGCAGTGTACTGGAGACAAGAGTTGTGGCACATGGCCCCTGGAATGGTAATAAGAGGGAGGCTGGCATCAGGGGGAGAAAGGGAGGCAGGGAGAAATCTCAGGCTGGCCACCAGACCATAAATGAGATTCACGTGAAATAGGACCTTGCCCTGCTGTGGCCCCTCCCCAACTCCGGCCACCATTCTCTGCTTGTTCCACAAGAGGGACAACTCTGCCCGTTATGGGCTGATGGAAGTAACTCCTGGAATCTCTCCACGGCTAGAGGAAACTTCCCCCAAAAGAAGAAGGCTGGCTGGGAAAAGGAAGGGAAGAAGGGATAACCTAGATGGAGGAAAGACTCAGCCCACTTCCTAGCTCCCAGTCCTAGTTGGCTTCTCAGGCTTCTCGTGTCTGTGGTTCCAAGCACCGGGGCTGTGGGCAAAGCCCTTCCCAGACCTATTTCCATCTTCCTGACAAGGGGCCATTGTCCGTATTATCTTCCCCTGGAAGGAAGAAGGCTGTTGGGGACCCTGGCAGTAACTTGGCCTAGGTCAAGTGGCCACTGAACACAGCTTGCTCGTTAGGCAGGTCCTTCTGGATTCCAAGCATCACTTTATGTCCTCTGAAGTTGACGGTACTGGAACCCAACTTCCAATCAGAAGGACAAGCCAGCAATGCGAGAGGCCAGCTAGCAGCATGGCCCCCAACCCCCAGATATGGGAAGGTTCTGTAGAGGAGGGGCCATCCCCTTCAGGAGCTTCCCAGCAGCATGGATAAGGCTGATGTTACTCTAGAGACGGCAGGGAAGGACAGAGACACCTTCCCTGCCCCATCTGAGGCTTATGGTGGAGACTCCTGCCACAGGGTTCCGTAGACGCTAAGGCATTCATGAGCAGAACAGGGAAAGAGGCGGGCACAAAGGTGAGAAGCTGCCCGGAGACCTGGAGAGAGAGTCTGGGGGTCTCTCTTCCTGCCCACATTGACCTTCACCCCCCCAACTCCCTTCCGCATCTCCCAGCCTCTTTGCTTTCTATCCCAGAGCTCTGTTTCCAACTTCTTGAACCCCACTGGGTCCCCATCTGAGAGGGTCAAGAAGTGTGCTCACAGCCAGCAAGCTAAAACTGTGAACTGGAGACACTGGGCAGACCTGTGGGGGAGGGCTTTGCCTACTTCCTTCTCCCCACCCCTGTGGTATCCTCACTTCCTTTTCTTGATCACAATCAACAGCTGGCCCTCTTTCCACTCCTCCCCCAGCCTCTCCACTATCTGCCAGTGCAAACATTCCTGTGGGGAGCTCAAGCAGGACCCAGTCTCCAGCCACTGTAAGTGTGCAGGAATTCCCAGGCTCCCGCTTCTACCACCTCATCTTGGCACCAGAGCCAACCTTTCCCGGCCCAGCTGAACTTCCTCTGCAGTATTCCTCAGAGAACAGGCTACAGCAAAGAGGGAGCCAGAGTCAACCAGCCATGGAAAGTCACCCTCTGACTTACAGCCAAGGACAAGGACAGGTGCCCCAAGCCTCCTGACTTCCAAGGCTCATCCAAGGTCCTCACCTCCTCCTCATGGGCTAAAGAAGGCCAGCCCCTCCTCCCACCTCCTCTCAGGTGCCACCCCTATTCCTATTGCACAGCATTTCTTTTTTGGTGTCACCATTTGACAGTTGAATCAGAGAAGTGGGAGGAAGAGAGAGGATGTGGAATTCAAGCGCTGGGGGCCAAGACGGGTTTTGGGAACATTACAGAGTAGAGGAGTCTTGCAAGCAAGCATGAACCACGAACCAGTTGTGCTGAGGCCCAGCAAGGGTTCATCCAAAGCCAGGCAGGGGTGGGGGCCTGTGGAGTCTTGGACTCTGGGACTGCTACCTCCCCACACCACAAGTATCCAAGTGGCCCGGTGGTGAAGAGGACATGGGAAGTCCCTGATGTGAGGGCCACAGCCTTCCACTATCTGTAAGTCTTCTGAGGAGACTCAGGGCTCTAAGACGCTCCCTGAGGGGTGGTCTGATGGGCTCCTACGGAAGCAACCCCAGATTCACCTTCAGTTTAGCTGTGCTATCTGTTCTCTGGTGACTAGCCTATGCTGGCAGGCTGAGGGGCCTGGAAACAGCCCTTCGCGCCTAGCCCTGGACCCCACTTCCTGCATAGAACAAGGAGTCTTGCCTCCTCTTTTCCCCACCGCACCTATGTGACACATCTGCTCTGCTTGAAGCAGATATGGCCTGGGATTTGCCATGAATTCCCAGGCTTTGAAGCAACAAGGGTTTATAGGGGCAGGAGCCAAGAAGTGGAAATAAGTCTCTAGCCAAGGTCACAACCAGAAGAACAGCTGAGGGTTCCCTATGGCTATCTTCTCAACAGAGAGGTAGGGGCGGGAGCTGGGGGAAGCTGGGGTGGTCCGGGAAGGCCTTATCCCTTGCCCATCCCCAGAGCCTCGACACCCAGCTAGAGTGACAGGACAGCACTAGCTTGCTCTTAGGGGGCACGGGGAGGACGCGCCCGACCCCTGGCGGCAGCTGCAGCAGGCGCAGGAGGGCAGCCTGCAGCTGGGTGTGCGTGGGTGGAAGCCAGGAGGGGCGGAGGGAGGAAGCTGGCTTCCTGAAGCCTTTCAGTCCTCAAAGATAGACGGACTGACAGACAGCTGGCAGGAGGCAGCCTGGGGGACACAGCTGCTTCAGTAAGTACTTGAAGTGGGCACAGACATCCTATGGCCCTGGGGTGGGGAAGCCCTGGAAATGGGAGGGCTCCAAGGATGGGGTGAAGAAGCATGAGTTTGGGGTTACCATGCCTGGTCAGGGCATGAGTAGTGGCAAATCTGGTGTCCCTGTGGCTGGAGGGCAAAGAAGCCACACAGAATACCAAGAGAGGAGAGGCTGAAAGCCCCTTCCTGTTGTGGGAGAGTATTGTCCTGGCAACACCTGCACTGGCCCACACGGTTCCAAGCCTCTGGCCTTGTGGGTTAGGAGCCTAAACCCACCACCATGGCACATATGACTTAGCTCTGAGAGATCGGGACTGCCCCCAAAAGACAATGCCCTCTTCACCTCTATGCACCTTCTCTCTCCTACTCCCGTCTGTAGCCTCACCATGCGCTGGCGCTCTGGGGCTTGGTGAGGCCATTTCCTGTGACGGTTACAGAGGCGGGAGACTGGGGGATGGGAAGGAGAAGGAAGGAAACACCCCTGGCCTACCGCCCTCGACAGAGACCCCATAAGCCACAACTGAGCTTGGAGAGGAGCCGCCAACAATTAAGAGACCCTACCACAAGTGTAGCGTGCCCGGGTCCCCAGCTGGCTCCAATGCTACTACAGGCCTCAGTTTCTCATTCTGCAGAAGCCTGCCTGGCGAGATTTAGAAAGCTGTGATCTTTCTCCCTTCCTCCAGTGTGGCCGGCTGTCTGTCATTCTCATTTGCACCCCAGCTTAGAGCCCTGTGGACTTGGATATCCTCTCTCTTCCTCCTTCCGGATCCTTTCCTGTCTTCACCCCTACATTCTACATCTCCCTCTTACTCTAACCCAAGATTGTCCTCTGCCCTGTCTCCCAACAAAGAGTTCCTGCTCTTGCAGGGAATGAAAGGCCACTTCCTTGAGAGAATGGCTAGCCTGGGCTCAGAAGCCTCCTTCTGGCTCGTGAGGCCTGCAGAACCTTGTCTTTCAGGCGGGCTCATGGCTGAGTGAGCCTCCCTTGGGCCCAGCAACCTACCCCAGCATGGTCCAGGCCTGTGAGGGTCGCTCCAGAGCACAGCTGCCGACCTTGTCTTTGGGGGCAGCCATGACCCAGCCTCCACCCACCAACGCTCCGGCCAAGAAGCATGTGCGGCTGCAGGAGAGGTGAGATCTTTCACAGACTCTTCCTAGCGCTGGGTTGCCTCCCCCCTTCCTTTCCAGTTCTAACAACAGAGTCCACAAGGCCTGGGGAAGAAAAACAACAACAACAATAACGCTCATTTGCATGTTACATGTCCATCTTTTGTATGTCTGAGACACCAAATTTCATGTCATCCCTGGGCCTGGTCTCTAAGTTTCAAGTTATGATAAGCAACCTCTGGGACAAGTCTAGGGATCTTGATGGCATTGGGTATGCGTTGGAGCCTCTGGACCGGCTTGGGAGGGCGGCAGTTAGGCAGCAGGAGGGCTACTCTGCTCTTATCTGATAAAGGGAAATGTAGTAAGGGCCTGACCCTTGAGTGCCCTGTGTGGCCGGCACTCTGTCATTCTCTGGGTCAAGAGAAAGACTAAGGGTGGCCTCTTCAGACAAGCTCTGCAACGAGCTGAGAAGAAGGCGGATGGCACGGCATGCTCACTGGGCCCTGGTGGGCTGTACTTTCAGAAGGGGCTCCAGTGTGGCTCTGATGCTGGATGTGCGGTCTTTGGGCACTGTTGAGCCCTTCTGCTCAGTGAACACGCCCCGGGAAGTCACCCTACACTTTCTGCGCACAGCTGGACACCCCCTTACATGCTGGGGGCTACAGCACCAGCCACCCAGCCCCAAGCAGCTAGAGGAGGAATTCTCGGTAAGAATTCGGGGTCCCCTCCACATCACTCGGCCCTTCAATATCAAGAGTATCATGTATTCCTAGGACTTCTCTTCTCCTTGGGGTTCTTAGAGGAGAACTTGGGCCCAGGAGAAAAGACTGTCCCCATCCTGCCCTTCTGCTCTGTGTGCAGAGGATGGAAGGGGAGAAAAGGAGGCTGGGAAGGGGGACCAGATGTTAACCCACTTATCCCCCACCATCAGAAGATACCCACAAACTTTGTCAGCCCTGAAGACCTGGATATCCCTGGCCACGCCTCCAAAGACAGATACAAGACCGTCTTGCCAAGTAAGGAACACAGCGGGGATGAGGGTGACAGCGTCCCTGGGGGTGAAGAACTTGGGAAGGCAACATACACATACACACAGACACACTTTGAGCCAGGCATCATGGTACACACCTATTATAATCCTAGCACTCGGATGTTGGGGTAGAGGATCAGGAATTCAAAGCTCGTTTCCGCTATTATAGCAAGTTCTGGGCTAGCATGGTTTAAATGAGACCTTGACAAAAACAAACAAACAAACAAACAAACAAACAAAAACCAAAATAAAACAAACAACAATTTAGAAAACAAACACGTCACCACAGCCAAGGAGGAACAGCAATGCCTGAGACACTGTCTTTCAACAGAGAAATCCTAATAGCATGCGCTGTCAGCTAGGAGATAGCAGCGGTTGCACAGCTGAACTGTAGCGTTTGCAGGAGCTTACTTCTGGCCTGCATGATAGGAGTGAGCTCAGACAGACCCAGGCCCAGCACCTCCCACTTCTCAGAGGCAACCTTGAGTCCTGGAGCCTGCTGCCCGTGACTTCCAGAACTATGGTCTGAATTCAGCCCAGCCCGTGGGTCCTGCCATGTGCTGAGTCTCCAAGCTCACTGCCTGCTGGAATAGACCAGGGTTCTGTGAACACTTGTCAATGTGAGCTTGTTAGCCTTTGGCCTTGGCCTAATTCTAGCAAGCTCTACAACCACCAAAGAGGGGAAGCCAGCTCCTTCATCCCTCATCTGGTTTGACTGGGGAAAGAGCCACACCTTTGGACAGTGGGGCCATATCTCTCATGGTTGGGTGGTATCTAAAATAATGTATTCATCTAAAGCGTGTTTTCATAATCAGAAAAACGTTTTTTCCTCTGCAGAATCTCTTTCTTTTCCTATCAGTTTCCTCCCATTTTATACCCTCGCTGATCTCCAGGCTAGAACATGACAGTATCCCAACTGGTCTCTGTGGTCTGTGCTACACAGCCATTCAGTTTATTTTTCTGCTTTGATTATAATCACTTCCCACTCAAAAACCTGTGGCTCCCTATTGTCATAAAAAATTATGTTTTATGATACATGGGTATTATATCTATAATATTATGAACACAATACCTATGTGTATAAAATAATTCAGTTGAAAACCTGTTGGTCACAAAGTATTGCGACCAGTGTGAGGACATTCTTCCCTCTGACTCTGTTAAAATCTACATTTGTTGGTCACCTTCTGACCTTTCACCTTCATTGATCTTCACTTTCTAGATCCCCAGAGCCGTGTCTGTCTTGGCCGGGCACACAGCCAGAAAGACAGCGACTACATCAATGCCAATTACATACGAGTAAGTAGCTGGCTGCTGCTGCAGTGGGGGCAGGCCTGCTTTTAAAAATGAAAATGCCACAGAATACCATCCAGCTGGGACTTGGCCTCAGGGGCCTGTGCTTTCCCTCCTCTCTGCTAGACTGGGGGGCTGGGGTAGAGAGACATACTGAATGATCCCCAAGGTGTTAGCCTAGAAAAGATGTCAAATATTCCAAACCACCTTAATCTACCCTGTTACCTTATCCATGACAGCACTCTAAACGTGGCAGTAAGTTGACATGGCTGACCATAGTTGCTAGTTTCTTAAAGGCTAGTGGCTTCTAAAAATCTACACAAAGCCAGCTCAAGTGCGAGTCTGTCTATCTCCCTATTACCTCCTCTCCCACACACAAACCTGTACTAAGTAGTGCCTCCTTTGTAGAGACTGACTCATGTCCAGCTAATAGCACCCTAAAGACAAAGTTTGGATCATCTCTCCCAACTTCTCACCTCCTCTGGTAGGTGGATGTGAAACTAGCGCCTCCTTGTGGCCAAATGTGGTAGGACCGTAGTCTGAGTACTGAGGAGCAAAGCAGTCAACCAAAAAGCATAGCAGATAGGTGGTCCTCTGTTTGCCAGCTGGAACCAGGCAAATGGTGGGATGCACGGATGATCAAAAGATGATGGAAGCTGAGGATGATGGGAGGGAAGAGAGATTACTAGAAAAAAAGTATGCTGGATTTTGATGCCAACTACACAAAAGTGATTCATGAAATGTGAAACGTTCATTTACAAATACTGAGGGCTGTTATATCTTGCACTAGAAGAAACCTGCAGAGCACAGGAACAAACATGCCTGTAGTGCCTGATGTGTGGGAGGCTGCCAATATATTTTATTGAGTTTAATTCACACTTGTGCTATAATTACTAGGCTCCGTCTATAGGTCGGGAAACTGAGTTCCACATGAATATGCCTCTCACTGCTTAGCTAGGAGACAGCAGGACGGAGTTTTTACCCAGGTGTTCCTCCAGCACGTCCTCCTCCAGCAGGTGGCTCCTGATGTGTGTGTCTGTGCATTGAAGTGTCCATGTTCACTGGCTCCAGCCTGACCCAGCACCTGTGCAGTCTGAATTCACAGAATCTCTGCTCCTCTGTGCTTTCTCTCCCCAGGGCTATGATGGGAAGGAGAAGGTCTACATTGCCACCCAGGGCCCCATGCCCAACACTGTAGCGGACTTCTGGGAGATGGTGTGGCAAGAAGAAGTATCCCTCATTGTCATGCTCACCCAGCTCCGAGAGGGCAAGGAGGTAGGAGGCAGGTCGCTCAGACAGGGCTTTACCCTCCCCTCCCACACTACCCATGCAGAACAGAGACCTCAGTGGGAGCTGAGATCACTGACAGGCCCCAGGCCGTATCTCTCAGGAAGGTTCCTGACATATATACAACCAAGGAAACTGTTCACAGCCAGAATGTGGGGAGAGTGACAGTACAGGTTAAGCCCCAGAAAGCCAGACTCCAGTCACTGACCTGAGTCAGGGGGTAAGATATGAGGAGGGGACACTAGGCCTCTCTCTGCCACCCCAGCCTGATCCATTGTGGACCCTCCCTTCTAGAAATGTGTACACTACTGGCCCACAGAAGAGGAAACCTATGGGCTCTTCCAGATCCGCATCCAGGAAATGAGAGAACACCCAGAATATACTGTGAGACAGCTTACCATCCAGGTACCATCCCCCCGGAACAGACCATTCTGTTGGAGGTTCGGGTCACCCTAGCATCTCTGGAACTCAGGCTCCACCTTCACTAAGTTTACTAAATTCACAAAGTTTACTATTTAAACCTTGGTCTCACATTTAAAAGAGGTGCCATAAAAGAAAGAGAAATGGGTACAACCCTCAGGGCCACCTCTAATTAAATAGGGATGTGCCAACAAACCAAATGGAGACCATCAGGAAAGATCCCCTCCCCATGCTCTACACCCAGGCCCCCTAAGAGAAGAGAGGCCCAGGAGAAGGCTGGAGGAGCAAGGATAGGTCAAAGAGATGTGCCGACAACTTTAAAGCACATGTGGGTGTACTTTAAAAATGCTCGCTAGGGGACAAAGAGTATTCAGCGGGTAAAGGCTCTTGCCACCAAGCCTGAAACCCACACAGTGGGAGAAGAGAACTGACCAGAAGAAAATAGCAAGGTTCCTATCTAGAGAAAAGGGAGGGAGAACAGGGGGAAGGGGGAAGGCTTTCTGCTACTGTACACATTCATACACTTCCAAACAATTCCTGGATCGGTTCATTGTTCCCCAAGCATCCTAGGAAGCCAACAATAAGATATCACTGTGCCCACTAACTAGGGAAGAAATGAGAGTGATGCGATTACCCACTCTTCTGTGACAGACAGAGGCACAGTCAAGACTTGAGCCTGGGGCTCTCCCTCTCAGAAAACACTGCTCCTTCCTAGAGTTTTGGAGTGGGTCATGGTGAAAGATGAGCAGCAAAGTAGCCAGGAGAATCAGCCTTGCCTGCTCTGAGTTGATTGCCAGCATTCACTTGCTGGTGCCAGGCAGCGCCCACCCCCACACCCATATCCTGGTTCCCATGCCTTATTCTCCCATTTTCTCATACCCCAGTACCAAAAGGAATGCCGATCGGTAAAGCACATCCTCTTCTCAGCCTGGCCAGACCACCAGACTCCAGAGTCGGCTGGGCCGCTGCTGCGCCTGGTGGCCGAGGTGGAGAGCCCAGAGACAGCTGCCAACCCCAGGCCTATCGTGGTTCACTGCAGGTAGGGTCCTCCCAGTCCCAGCCTATCTTCAGTGCTAACCTTCCCTCCCACCAGGTCTCTGGTGGGGAAGCATCCAACTAATACTCCACCAGACAGGCCCCAACTCTTACATGGACAGAGTCCTGGCTTGTGGGAAGTCAGGTAGATAAACATGACCTCCGCTGTTGGGAAGTCCGTTCATTCATTGGACAACCGTTTTTTTTTTTTTGCGTGGGGGTCGTTTGGTGTTTGGGTTTGGGTTTGTTGGATTTGTTGTGTTGTTTGGGTTTGGTTTTGGTTTTGTTTTGTTTTGGGGCATGGAACCTTCTTTGTAGCCAAGGCTGGCATCAAACTCATGGCAATCCTCCTGCCTCTCAATCTCCTTTTGGGGTTGCAGGCATGAACTATAATAGATTTATTGTTAACCTATTGTTACTGTTGTCAGGCACCATGTTAAATACTAAGAAGATAACAGAGAACAAAACAGTTTGGTTTCCTGCCCAGCAGGCTTATGGCCTGGTCAAAAGGACAGTAGACTAAACAATTAAACGGGCTACAAAGCGTAGGGGCTGGAGAGATGGCTCTTCCAGAGGTTTCTGGGTTCAGTTCCACATAGTTGAGTTCAGCAACCACACCGTGGCTCACAACCATCTATAATGAGGTCTGGTGCCCTCTTCTGGCGTGCAGATGTACTTGAAGGCAGAACATTGTTTGCATAATAAATTAAAAAAACAAAAAAAAAAGCCAGATGGAGTAGGACAGAGGCCATAGGGTCAGGTCACCTAACACCTGAGGGGGAATAAGCCAAGGAATGGGGGAAAGAAAAACATTCAAGGAGGGAGAGCAGTATATGCTCAGGAAATAAACAAAATAATAATAATAATAATATATACTGGCAGCAGCAGGATCAGAGGGGAAAGCTGGACCTTATATGTGGGGACACTGATGGGAAACCAGTCTGGAAGGCAGCTAAGGGCTTAATGAAGGGGACTTGTTAGACTGGCTAAGACACTTAGATTTCCCATTTTGTTTTACTTTTTATTGATCTGGGAATTGAATCCAACACCCAGATGAGCTGTTTAAAATAATGCTTAGGGCTGGGCACAGTGATGCACTCCTGTCTTCCCAGCATTTGGGATCAGGAGCTCAAAACCAGTCTAAATGACACAGAGAGTTCAAGGCCAGCCTGGGCTATATGATGTTATAGAGAGAGGGCAGGGGAGAAGGGGGACGAGGAAAAGACAAAAACAAAAAGTACAAACAGGGCATACTTGGACCCAGGTAGAAGTGGCACAATGGCACAGTTGCTGGGGTTCACCGCTGGCTTCTATCAGAGGCACGTGTGAAACGTAAGGGGGGGGGGGTGACATCAAGAAAGGACAAGAGAGGAGTGTGAGGGGGAGAGAGAGAGGTCTCAAGGTGGCAGAGCCGAGAAGAGGAGGAGAATGGAGGTCAGAGGACATCAGCGGAAGCTGGTGAAGCCGGGAGGAGCTGCGGTCAGATAAGGAAGGCTCAGGGGCAGCCTGTACTGGCAGGCGCTGTCGGTTAGATGCCTTTGGACTGTAAACAGACACTATCATGAAAATGCGCTGGAACAGGGCATGGCAGAGCACCTGGTGCTGGGTGCACTCGGGCTGAGCGGTAAGATTGCCAGTTTACGGTCAGTCTGGGCTACGCAGCTAGACCCTATTCTCAAAAAGAAAAGAAAAATTGGGGAACCACAAGGTGTCTCCATGGGTAAAGGAGCCAGCAGCCAGGCCTGGCCAATTGAGCTCACTCTCTGGGACCTACATGGTCAAAGGAGAGAACTGACTCGGGAAAGTTGTCCTCTACCCTCAGACAGTGAGATGGAACGTGCACACATGCGCACAATGACACACACAGATCAAAATAAATAAAAATATGAAAAACAAAACAAAAAACCCAGCACTTGGGAGGCAAACGCAGGCAGATCTCTGAGTTTCAGGCCAGCCTGATCTACATAACAAGTCCCAGGCTACATAGAGAGATAGAGAGACTCTGTCTCAAACAAACTGACAGGAAAAAAAACAAAAACAACAACTAGGGGCTGGCAATATGGCTCAATGGTTAGGTGTACTGGCTGCTCTTCCAGAGGTCCTGAGTTTATTCCCGGCAAACACATGGTGGCTCACCACCCATCTATAATGAGATCTGGTGCCCTCTTCTGACATGCATGTGCAGATAGAGGACTCATACACAAAATTTTAAAAAATCTTTATTTAAAAGAAAAAAGAAGAAAAAGACTGGGTATGGTGGCACTCTTTTGTAACCCCAGCACTCAGGAGGCAGAGGCGGGCAGACCTCTGTGAAGGCTAGCTTAGTCTACAGAATGAGTTCCAAGACAGCCAGAGCACATAGTGAGAGCCTATCTAAAATAATAATAATAATAATAGTTAATTAAAGTCCATAGGAACCAGAAGGTGAGCTGGATAGGCCTAGAGTGAGACTAATAAAGCTTACAAACTTCTTCAGGACAAGCTATAATCTGCCTTGCTCTGGGATGCCAGGGACGCTGGAATCGTAGGCCTGAGAGCCCTACCCACAAATAGAGCACTCAGTCCCATTTCTTCTCTCATCGTTTGAAGCCTAGCTCCAACCTTCTGTGCTCGTCTATCTCCCCTGTTCCCTGGTCTCCTGTGACTTCCCCCACCTCTCTCTGGTTATATCCAGCGCAGGGATTGGCCGGACAGGCTGCTTCATCGCCACCCGCATCGGCTGCCAGCAGCTGAAGGCCCGAGGGGAAGTGGACATTCTGGGCATCGTGTGCCAGCTGCGCCTAGACAGGTGGGTCTGTGAGAAGCAGGTGCAGTCACATTAGTTGGCAAGGACACTGGTTCTGAGGTACTGTGCACGACACCTTCAGGCCCTCCTAGAAGGAAGGAACTTATTTTATTGAAAGAACTTTCTGTTTTGCTAATAACTAAGCCTGCTTGAAAGAGCATCTGAAATGTTGGCTTGGGGGCCTGGAATTTAAAATGTCACCCTGAATTTTCCCTCATCCTCCTCCCCACCCCAAATTCTCTACTCAAAGGGAAGCCAGGGAACAAGTTTCCATCAGGGATAGGTATGGCATTGCATGCCCATCATCCCAGCACTCAGGAGAGAGGCAGGTGGTTAGTTCAAAGCCAGTGCCTGGCTATTTAGCTAGCTCAAGGCCAATGAGAGCTACATAGGAAAACTCTGTCTTGATTTTTTTTTAAAGGATACAACTTGTTCTAGGTAGAAGGTAGCTAAGGGCAATATGTGGTACTCACTGGACTTGGAAGTAGAGAAGCAGGTTCAGACTCTGGGATGTATGCTACTATCTATTACCATAATTCTATAACACATACATACACACACACACACACACACACACACACACACACACACACACCGCTGCCACCCCTTTTTGAGTGCTTTTGTTAGCATCTCTCTATGTATTCCTGGCTAGCCTGAAACTAGCCTGGCCTTGAACTCACAGAGACACATCTGCCGGTGCCTCCTGAATGCTGAGATTAAAGGTGTGCACCACCACCGCCTGTCGGCATGTCTATTCTTGATCTAGACAGGTAATATCTATTTCCACAACTGGAAGAAGAAATCATATCACAGGGGTGTTTTAGAAATGGGACCTGCTCTCCACTTGTGGGGCTGACTGTTTTTACTTTTAAGATTATTGGCAATGGAAAACTTGAGCATGGGAATGCATTCTTGAACCAACCTGAGGTCTGATTTTGCTCAAGAGCTGGATGGAAAAGGGACAGAAGACCAAGAGTCAAGATGAGGCACTAATTCTGTACTTTCCCCCCCTGGGGCTGCCCTGGAGAGGGCAGCAAAGAGGACTGGGGAGTGAGAAGCCTGACCGTGTGGTGAGGGGGTATCAGGGTTTTCCTAGCAGGACAGGCATGGGGCAGGTGTCCCTCACTCTTCTCCCCCCCGGAACTTCTGCTTGCAGAGGAGGCATGATCCAGACGGCAGAGCAGTACCAGTTCCTGCACCATACTCTGGCCCTGTATGCAGCCCAGCTGCCTCCGGAGCCCAGCCCCTGACCCCTGACCCTCCACCGGTTCAGGGACCAACCTCCCCTCAGGCCTGGGACAGCTTCTGCATAAGCACAGGAAAGGGAGCCTCGGCCGTGAGGATGCTTCAGCCTCAGGAAATTGCTCCCAGCAAGCAAAGGAGGAGCCAGGCCGCAGGGCTTCCCCACCAACTAGTCCTCTGCCTTTGTCTGTGGCTCCCAGTGGACTATAGGGGAGCTTCCTGTGGCTCTGAACTTACAGATAAGAGCTGACACTTGAAATGGATTGAGAATAATCCCCCAACCATGGGGTGCTGGCTTATCTATGTGCTCTCTATGGGCTTCTTTCCTTGTGGATGACATAAAGAGTCAGTTCTTTGCTGCCATCATAGAAGCAGACAGAACGTTCCTGAAAGCCATTCCAGATGTAGCTCTGCTGTCGGGGCTGCAGAATGGTGACTGAAAGGTCTTCTCCATTAAGGCCTTGGCCACACACAGGCCAGATGCAAGAGCAGGGAAGAGCCTGGCTGGCCTTTTGACTTTGGACCTCTCCTCCCCATCCACCTGTGAGTGCTGATGACCCCTCAGAAGAGAACTGGGGCCCTGATTGGCCTGTCTCCACATGTCATAAAAGGAGATGCCCACGTAAGCAGGTCTAGCAATTACGGACAAGAAGAAACCCCAGGTGCGGTGATGCATACCTGTATTCCCAGCACTCAGCAACAGAAGCAGGAGGATTGCTGAAAGTCTGAGGCCAGCTAGATGTGCATTTTGAGTTCCAGGCCAGCCAGGACTGCATAACAAGATCTTCTCTTTTAAAATAAAAATAATAGAAAGCAATCACGAGCTCTCTGGAAGTGATGGGGCGGGGGCTGCCTCTGCCTCTGTGGCTTCCTGCCATCTGCTCCCAACCACTCTCTAGGGAAGCCAAACACTCTCTGCATTGCTTCTGTGACTTCAGAGAATACTCTGGGTACCCAAGAAGTACCAAAGAAAGAGGAGAGAAGAAGAGACAAAGGACTGTGTCTGGTTCTGGCAAACCTACCTGCCATATCTTTCCTGGCTTGTATTTTCTTGGCAGAGCACACCTGGATAGCTTAACTAATTCCAGAAACATCCTGGGCTGTCACCACACCAAGCAGCACAGGGCTAAGACCAAGCTTCAGCCCCATCCTTGTCTCTTGAGCACCATTTCCAGGGAGCCCACGATCTAGCTTAGGGTTGAACTGTATACCCCAGAAAGCCAGACAAGCCCTGAGTCTTCCAGTATGGGTTGGCTGTGGGGAAGAAGGCAGAGCACTGTTTCTGCTGTCTGGTCCTTAGCTCCTGGAGGTGCTGAATGACAGGAGTCTTCTGTGAAAACCTCAGGGAGCTGGTCCTGGTAAGTGTCTGTCCCCCTGCTTCATGGCATCTCTCTGAAGAATGGTGCCACTGGACATGGTGTCGCAAGCCTGTCATCCACATGTGGAAAGTGGAGGCAGGAGAATCAGCAGTTTCAGACCAGCCTTCAAAAAGAAACTAAAACAAACAAATAAAAGTTGCGTGGTGTTGAGGTTAAAATTCTTAATGCTCTACCTGAGCTTACGGAGGTGCTCCACTCCCGCAGACTCAGGGGATGGCTTGCGCTCCCACTTTCCTAAGCCCCCTAAAAGGTCTGTGCTGCCCAAAGTAGGCTCTAAAGTACCTGCTGCTTCCATGAGCTCAGAGCCTGTCTGGAAAGGAGCAATTGCACAGCCCCATGGGCACCTTCCCTGCACTGTCACCCCAACTCTGTTCTAGGGGTCACAGGCTCTGAAAAAGCAAAGTAGAAAAATAAAGACTTCTGGGTGACTGGTTAAATTTCTTTCCATATTTTTAGGCCTCTAGGGCTCCAGAGCAGGAACAGGCTGCTACCTCCTTACCCCCGGATATACTCTTTTCCAGTATTTCTAAGGATGCGTGACAAAATGAAACTGCAGTCAAGTATAGGAAGTGAGACACAGGGTGCTACCTTGCCTGCTCAGGGTGTTTTAACAAAGCACGGCCCACGGATCACTTATAAACAACAGAAATGTGTTGTTTATGGCTTGAGATGGGAAAACTTTGATCAAGGTTAACTTGGTTAGGACTCACTTTTTGGCTTATAGATAGCCTTCTCTTTACAGCCTCCTGATGGAAGAAGTATGGGCTCTGGGTACCTCTTTTTTCTCTCCTTATATAAGGGAACTAACCATATTTAGGAGGACTCCCCCCTCATAACCTAGTCACCTTACAAGGCCATCACTTTGAGGATTGGAATTTCAATATATGAATCTGGGGGAAAGGACACAGAAATGTAGAGCAATGAAATCTATTAACTTAACTTTAACTTAAAACATTCAGACTATAGCATGTACCTTTGGAGCAAGAGAAGAACTTACAAAGGGCAGGGACTAGACAGATGTTACTTAATAAGTCAGAATAATAGGCTGCTCCAAGATGCTGGGGTCCTCTAACCCTGAGTAGGTTTGATCATACAGGAGATGTTAAAAGTTCACAAAGACAACAGATGCCAGTTGAGTACACTTGAAAACCAGACCCCAAGGAGAGCCTGATGGCATTCTTGTAGAAGGAGCCCAGCTGCTCCAGGATCCTGGGAGGAAGGTACTGGTTGACTGAGCAGGCTCCAGGTTAGCTCTTGCAAAGGAGACTGGGAACATCTTGGCAGGCCCTTCACCATCCACTATCAGAAAACTTAGCTTTGTACCAAAACAACAGCCATTTTCCCTTTGCCACTGACAGCCCTCACAGGGGATCCCTTGCCCTGATTTCACCTGCTTCTATATGGTGACAATACTGGTAAAGAACAGCCTCAAAAGCCGGGCGTGGTGGCCCACCTTTAATTCTAGCACTCAGGGAGGCAGAGGCAGGCAGATCTCTATAAGTTTGAGGCCAGCCTGGTCTACAAAGCGAGTCCAGGACAGCTAGGGCTACACAGAAAAACTGTCTTGAAAAACAAAAAACAAACAAACAAACAAACAAAAAACCAAGAAGAAGAGGAGGAAGAGGAGAAGAAAGAAGAAGAAAGCAAAGCAAAGAAAAAAAGATCAGCATCAAGTTCAAATGTCTGTCTCACTTTGGGCTTCCTAAACAAGCAGCCTGGCAAACTGTGGTTAACAAAACAAGATGGAGTATTAAGGGCTCTAAATAGCGCTGTTCCTCACCATGCACTTCGGGGGATGGGACTTGGTACCCAGGGATGCTCAGAGGCAAGGGTTCAGGAAGCAAAACCATATGTCGTCTCCCTTCCTTGGAGATCTTCCTGCTACCGTTCTTTAACCTGGGAATGCTCTAGCTTAATCAGGACACCACCTGCCCGGGGGCCGACTACCCTTCAAGACAGAAAACCGTGCAGTCAGGGCGGGGCGAACGAGGGCAGCCTAAAAAATAAAATTACAGCTTTCCCGGCTAGCGCCCCATCACGCTCCTCCCGGGCGCCGCGGGTCCCCGCTGCCCCGCCCGCGGGCGCTGGCCGAGGCCGCGCGCGAGACTGGAGCGCGCTCGAGTGCGAGCAGGACCCGGCCCGGCCCGCGGGAGGGCGGCGGCGGCGGCGGCGGAGGAGGTGCTGTGGCCACACCCATCGGCGAGCGGATCCACGGGCAGCGCGTCGTCGGCCGCCGCGCTCCAGCCTCCGCCCGCACCGAGCCGCGGGACCCGGCCGCACCGGGGAGGGGCCTCTCCGGGCCGCAGCGCGAGGGCAGCGAGGGCGGCGGGGACCCGGCACCGGGCGCGGCCGGCGGCAGCGACCATGATCGCTTTGTTCAACAAGCTGCTGGACTGGTTCAAGGCCCTGTTCTGGAAGGAGGAAATGGAGCTCACGCTGGTGGGGCTGCAGTACTCGGGCAAGACCACCTTCGTCAACGTGATCGCGGTACGGGGGCAGATGTGTCGACCGCGCCGCGCCGCGCCTGGGCAGCCGGAGTCTCCGCCTGGCGTGGCCCGGCACCGCTGGGCGCCGGGCAGGGAGGAGCCGACACGGGGTGCTTAGGGCCTAGCACGGTTCTTAGAGGACCGGCTGGCGTGCTGGAATGGAATGGCAGGGCTTGGGGCGGGGTGGCGAGGATGAAGGGGACCGAGCTGGCGTTCCGGGGCTGGCTGCACCGGGAGGTCTCCAGGCACCGGGAACCCGCCGCAGGCTGACAGGCCCCCGCTGCTCACTCACTGGGGGCATGACGGGGCGAAAGTGCCCGGGCCTTCCAGCTCCGCGCGTGGAGGGTCACGGGACGCGCGGCCCGAGCGTGTTGCCAGGGTGCCCTACCAGTCCAGCCCCACCCCGAGGGCTCTGCCTCCCCTTGCTGGACGCTGAAACCCCGACCCTTTGGGGCGGGGAAAGGTATCCCTAGAGGCAGAAGAGTCAGCTGAGGTCCTGGCTCTAGCCCAGACTCCTCCCCGGAACCTGTCCCGGGCCTGCGGTTTCGCAGGGGTCCAGAAAGGACAGCACCATAAAGGGAGTTAGGAGACTTGGCTCAGAAGTTGCAGGAGTCGGTATTGTGGACCCGAGAGGATGAGCTGGAAGGGCGCCATCCACTTGGGGACAGGGAGGAGAGCAGCTCCAAGGGCTTTGGGGAGTCAGGATCAAGGGGGTGGGTGGGGGTGATTGCAGTTGTATGTCTGTGCCAGAGGAATGGTGGAGAAGGAGTTAATTTTTCTCTTTAAAAAAGAGGAAGATGAGCTCGCTGGGTGTGAGCTGAGCTGCAGTAATGGCTGCAGCCTGTATTTCAAAGCGAGGCAAGACTGGGCTTATGGGACCCAGAGAGGCTTGGGACAGAGCCATAGTTTTTCCCCAGAACCTAGTCCCGTTCCCAAAGATGGGTTTTTCCAAGAACTGTGAATTAGCCAGATCTAGGTAAAAAATGCTGATGTGTAGGTCCGCAAAGGTGTGTGGTGTGGCCAGCCAGCTTCAGTACTTAGCTGTATTGTGTTGCTGCCCAACCTTGAAGCCTCACTGGGCTTAGCATCCTTGCAATGGAGCCCTTCAGAGAGGATACTGCTACTGATACGATGGGTAGGTGGAAGGCTAGGTGGATTTGGGATTTATTGGTTACATGACTGAGCATGGAGTCTTGCTCTCCCACCTCCCCTAAATAGGCCCTGCCCTTGACCTCTGTACCCTCTTCTACCCAGTGACTCTTCTTATTTCCACTGGGCCTTTGCTGAGGTTTGGGACATAATGTTTTTCTGAACTAACACATGTATCTGGCTTCCTGTCTGCCATGCTGTGTTCCTAGGATCAGAAAGCCTGTTTAGGCTTCATGTTGACTTGCCTCTTGCACTCGCTGTCAGAGCAGGAACCCAACACCTGGATTCCCACCTGCCTTGCAGACCCAGGTGGCTTGGTTTGGGGCATTTAGGTTTGGGAGGTGTCTCTGCTATTTCTCAAAACAAGAAACTAGCTGCTTGGGCTCTGCCTAGACGTTACCTCCTTTCCCTAAGGAAGCTCTCCTCATGGGGTGTTACTGAAGCCACCCTTCTGTGTAGAGACACACTGACGACACCTAGGTGGGTTCAACTTCCTGGTTTGGACCTACAGTTCAAGACCAGCGTCTTCTCAGAGAATGGAAGGCCCTGACAAGTCAGGGACGGAAGCCAAACTCTCAAGCTCTCCTGCCAAGAGTCAAGAGGTTCTTTGAAACCTGGCATGATGGAACATGTCTGTAAAAATCCAGCACTCTGTACCTGCAGTTTGAGTGCAGCCTAGGCCATGTAGAGAGACTTTGTATCAGAAACAAAACAAAAAAATCAGTTTTATTTGACATTCCACATTCCTCCTCTCCCCAGTTCCCCATTCTCCATCTTGATACTGAATTTGCCACTTGAAGAAGGAGCCAAATTTCCCTTCTCTAAAGAGACCCTAACAGGTGAAAGCACCCCCTAGGGGGCTGCAGGGAATTCCAGCATCCGGATAACTCTAGCAGTCTCCAACCCACTAGAGCCCCCACAGGCATTCTGCAGAGTCACAAAAAGACTTGAGACCCCTGGGCTCTGTGCCCATACCCACCACTGACTTTCCGAATTGTGTTTGCCTGTCCTCTTGGCCTCTGTCTCAGCAAACAGAGAAAACCCTTTATGCCTTTTCCCCCACTCTGTGAGATCGGGCTGTGAGCATTGTGTTCAGTGAGTCCAGATACTTAGGGTAATGTAAACTAGGAAGAAAGTATGTAAAGAGCCATTGCAGTATGTCTAAGACACTGAAACTCTACTGAGTGATGAAAAGACTGTGATACTAGAAAAATGGGAGATATCTTTTTACCTGAGAGAGGCAAAAAGGCCATTCTCTTTCTCTCTCTGTCTTTCTTTTTTTTTCTTTGAGACAAAGTCTGGTGTTGAGTGCTCAGTCCTCTTGTCTAGTCTCCCTGGCCTAGGACCCTAGGCATGTGTTACCACGCCCATCAAAGGAGTCATTTCAAAGGCTATCACTAAAACTGGTCTTGAGGTACCCAAAAGGACTAAAGAACAAAGGGACACGCTATAGGAAGATGCATTTTTGATTCATAAAGAACTTTCTGATGATTTGAACATGAGAGGGAGTGAAAGCCTAGCATAGTGGCACACGCCTTTAGTCCTAGCCATTCAGGCTCTAAGGCAGAAGGATTAGGAGTTGAAGGCCAGTCTGGATTACTTCATCTAAAAATAATAATAAAATTAAAAATGGAGGCTCTAGGGATGAAGCTTAGTTGACAGAAGGACTGTCCTAACATCCACAGCGCCTTGGGTTCAATGCCCAGCACCACATAAAACCAAGACATGGCACATGACTATAATTTTTGCACCAGAGAGGTAGAAACAGGAGGTCATCTTTAACTACAAATCAGCTTGAAGCCAGCTTGGGATACATGAGACCCTATCTCAAAAAAGAAAAAAAAAATCATCTAGAATAGATTCAAGCATGAGACAAAAGGTTGGGTTACATGACGTAAAGTTGCTTCCATCCTTACAGGAAGAATTGGAGTCATTAGTGGGGAAATTAAATCATAGACTGATTGCAACTTAGCTCCAATTCCCAACTGAGCAGAAGCTCTGGGTGTTGGAGGGCCTGGCTATCTGATAGTCTCCCACTACCCCAGTCTGCCAGGTTACACTCTTCCAGGCTGCACTCATCTGTTTGGGAGCATGTGGATCTTCTGGTTCCCAAAGAGCAATGACAGTTCCACACTGCATCACAGCTACGCCCTAGCATTTGTGAGCCGTGGTCACCATTCCAGGAGCCCTACGGTCCCAGCTGTTCTAGGGTCCTGAGGGAGGACTACTTGAGCACAGGAGTGCTTAGCTTCCGAGATCAGATGAAATCAGGCACTTTCCGGGTGCTATGGCTTAGTTATCTCCAAGCTAGCCTGGCAACATAGCCTGAATTCAATACCAGGATTCCACAAAGATGGTAGGAAAGAACCAACTCCCTAGAGTTACCCTCTGACCTCCACAGGCATGTTGTGGCGTGTGTGTACCTGCAGACAAAATAAATACATATAAAATTAAATTATATGATAAGATGTGTACAGGTATTTTTTGGTTTTTGAGATGGGATTTCACATAACCCAGGCTGACCTCAAACGTACTTTTTAGCTGAAGCTGACCTTGAACTCTTACTCCCCTCCACCTGAGTACTGGGGTTTTAGGAGTATACAGTACATCCTGTAGTACAGTAACATTTCCATAAGGGACCCTGAGGTGGGCCCTGGAGCAACTCCTGTGGACACCAAAGGATGCTTATACATCCAGGGGTCCAGAGGACCTCCAGAATGCCTCCAGCTGTGGTCCTCAGATTCGGAATCCCAGCTACACCTTGATTGAGTGATTGGGTGGTTTCGGAAGAGACGGGAGTGAGTGGCACCCTCGTCCAGTCCGCCTGGGGCACTTCACTGAGGCTTCCGGGGGCTGAGTGATTGCTGGTTGTCTCCTGCTCTTTGGCTAGTAGTCAGAGTCCCTGGCCTCTGCATGGGACTCAAGCAAATGAATGTACTACCTGGCAGGAGACAAAGCAATATAACAGTCACTCTCATATAACTGTCACTCTCAGCTTAAAGGTACCACCAGCCCCTTCTCTTATTGCCTTCAGCTTGGCTCTCCTGTTCCTACCTGTGGTGTGAATATGGCCTGGGAGGACTTCAGTTTGGCCTAATTTGAAGGCTGTATCTACTTTAGAACAATCTGGAAATTTCAGAGATAGTGTATGGGGGGAAAGTAAAAATTGACAGAAATTGAAAGGAATTATAGGAATTGGAATAACTGTCAGCTCCCAGATATTCAGCAAACACTAATGCTGTTACTGTAGACCTGGCTTCTCCTGGAGGCTTTCAACCCAGTCTGAAAACACATATATAGTAAGTAATTGTGGCTTAGTCATGGTAGAGTACAACAAATGAATACTGTGAATAGCCCTGAAATTATTTAGTATGCATTGCATTTTGTGGGTGGTGAATTTAGTCCCAACCCACCCACCCAGACAAGGTCTCTTTATGTAGGCCAGGCTGTCCTGGATCTCTCTATGCAGAGGAAACTGGCCTCAAACTCACAAAGAGATCCACCCGCCTCTGCCTCTCCAGTGCTGGGACTAAAGGTGTGCATCACCACACCCGGCCTTACATACATACATACTTACATACATGTATACTTCTCCTTATGTATGTATGTATCTATCTATTTTTGAGATGCGGTTTCTCTGTGTAGCCTTGGCTGTCCTAGGCTAGCCTTGTAGACCAGGCTGGCCTTGAACTCACAGAGATCCACCTGCCTCTATCTTCCAGTGCTGGGATTAAAGTGTGTGCCACTATGCCCAGCTCCTCCTAGTTTTTGGTTTTTGTTTCTTGTTTTTTGTTGTTTTTTTTTTGGAGGCAGTTCAGCGACTCAATTTGACATTCAGGAGGTTAGTCCTCATCCGCATTGACCGTCTGTAGGTTTTTGAATGTGGCTACTGGCACATAAGTTACCAACATGTAGAGCTTGTTTGGTGAATCTTCATCTGGACAAACGTACTCAGATGCAATATGGAACATTCCTTATTCCTTTGGCACAGACAGCTTTATTGGGCCTCGTATCTGCGCACATCTGGAGTCCCCAGCTCTTTCATGGCAAACTTTCGAAATTTTTTGAGTGCCTGGGGAGCACGCTTCTTGAAGCCCACTCCATGGATGCGCTTGTGAATGATGATGGTGTACTCTCTGGTCACCACCTCAGTGATGGCGGAGCGGCCCTTATTCTAGCCACCCTTCTTTGCAGGAGCCATTCTGCCGGGGCCATGCTAGAAAGCCCTAGTTTTTAAAAAATAACAGTTTACTACGAGTTTGATAATACATCTGCCTCTGATTGCCGTATCTCTTGTTTCAAGCCTCTTTTCCTGAGAAACAATTTATTCTCCTTCTAACTCAGCTGGAGATCAAGCGAAGGGGCTTCTTTTAACAGGAACTGTAGGTTAACTGTAGGTTAAACTGTTGGGAAGAGTTTTCTCCCTGTCTAGACTGGGAGACCCTGTCTAAGGACTGTGGGCCTCTTCCCCATAGAGCTCCAGATATAGATGACACAGGCTTGAGGACCAGCCATCTGCCTGAAAGCAGGCGACATTCCAGAGACACCTCCCGTGAAAAAATCTGAGAAGGTCTGCCCTGACTAATGTGTCACCCTGCAAGGTCTTGTTCTGTACCCACCGGGGAGGGCATATCTGGGTCCTGCCGGTGTCTGCATCTTTTCCAATTCTGGCTCTTCTTTCTAGTCAGGACAGTTCAATGAGGACATGATCCCCACTGTGGGTTTCAACATGCGCAAAATCACCAAAGGGAATGTGACCATCAAGGTGAGGGCAGAGGTCTACCCAGGACCGCATGGGCTTGGGAGGGCAATTGCGGGCCCTTGGAAGTGCCAGCCAGGGGAGGGCAGAGTGGCATCCTAAAGGGAGCTGAAGATATGAAAGGTAGAGGGATAGGGGAGAAAGGGAAAGCCGGAGGGAGAAGAGGAGGTGTGACCCATAGGGTTGGGAGGACAGCAGAAGGGAATCTTGGGAACCCGATGACTTTCAGTCTTCTACATGCTCCTGAGGCTGCCTCCTCTCCCCACCCTCTTGTCACTCAGCTCTGGGACATTGGGGGACAGCCCCGCTTCCGCAGCATGTGGGAGCGCTACTGCAGAGGAGTGAGCGCCATCGTGTAAGTAGGGTCCCCCCCACCACCTGCAAGAACTTCAGACGTAGGCCTGGTCTGTGGCCCACGCCTGCTGCCTAGACGTGACCTTTTATTTTGCATGCTGTTTCTTTTACTGAATATGTATTCAGGCCATAGCACCCAATCAGAGAGCTGGCCAGTCAGACCTTCAATGCCTCCTAGTGCACTGTTCCCCAACCCAAAAACTCTAGCATGTATAAGCCTCTAGATTCAATTCCAGTGACACACACACACACACACACACACACAAAAGCAAAGAAAATGTATGTCCAATTTATATATATATATATATATATATATATATATATATATATATATATAT